TTTTTTTTTGGGGGGGGGGTCCTTATCATAACTATAACAGAATATACCCCGAAACCCTATTCTAATGAATAAGGCCCCCTACAGTATGCATGTCGGTATGTATGCTCGTTTATATCCATGCATGCATGGATAGATGGACGGATGGATGCATGGATGGCTGGCTGGCTGGCTGGCTGGCTGCCTGGCTGCGTGGATGGATGAATGGATGAATGGAGGGACGGATGTATACATATTACATGCATAGAGACATGTATAGTATGCATTATACGTCTGTCCATGTGTCTGGTCCTTAAGGACACAATGACCCTTAAAAGTAGGGACTCCATACCCTTATACCGTGAATCTCTATATTGTAGATGAACCTCAAACCCTTTTAGGGTTCTTTCGTCTTTAAGGGATGGCAGATATCCCCTAAACCCTAAACCCTAAACCTTTTAGGGCTCTTTCGTCTTTAAGGGTTGGCAGATATCCAAGATCTTCCTACCATTGCGAGGCTTGGTCCTGACGCTCCACAGCATGCTCAGCGGCGAGGATCATGCAAAGGCACTTCCTTTACACCCTAAACCCTAAGCCCTAAACTTTAAACCCTAGGCCCTAAACCCTAAACCCTAAACCCTAAGCCCTAAACTTTAAACCCTAGACCCTAAACCCTAAACCACTTCCTTTGCGTCTGGCAGGTTTTGGGGAAGGCTCTCAGGGCTTTGCAAAAGACCGAGCTGAGTAATGTATGGGCTTTAATAATGAGAATAGGGTTTTGGGGATTCCTTTAAAAGGGTTCCTTAAAGGGTTCTATCAGGGCTACTATAAGGGTTTGGGGCGTAGGGGCCTTAATAATTTGAATAGGGTTTTGGGGATTCCTTATTAGAACTATAGTCTACTGTACCCCAAACCCTATTCTGATTATTAAGGCCCCTGGTTTGTTGGTACTTTATTCTTAAACAAACCCAATATGCCAATATGAGGTGTGTTTGCTCGTGTAAACCCAGCAAATGAATTTCACACAACAACCCACTGCTCGAGTCCCAAAATCGGGCGCTGCTAGGCCCGGCTCAGAGTTCGCGTTGTAGGTTTTGGTTTGGAGTTTTGGAGCTTGGGTTCGGAGTTTCAGAGTGTTAAGGTGGGGCCAGGGGCTTAAGTAATTACCGATACTATCTTGGGGGTTCTTATTATCACTATACTATCAAGGGCCCCCAAACCCTACTCTAATTATTAAGGCCCCTACATTAGGTTTAGGGGGTTTAGGGGAGTTCAGGGTTTATAGGGGTTTCGAGTCGGTGGAGTCGGAAATGTGGCTGATCCGATCCTTAAGGACCAAATGACCCTTAAAAGTAGGGACTCTATACCCATATACTATGAATCTGTTTTGTGTAGATGGGCCTTAAGCACTTTTGGGGTTCTTTTCGTCTTTAGGGGTTTGAGCTCCTGTTCAGACTCGTTTTGACGCCAAATCACAACCCAACACTCGATCTCCGAAGCATTTCTAGCATGACAAAGAGCTTGTAGAACTTAGTTAGCCAATAGGAGAACTTTAAACTTCTTGGCCTTATATATTTAGTCTATTCTAAAAAGTTTGAACTTTTTGGGCCTGGCTGTTGAAGAAGAGAGAGAAACAGAACGTTTGCAGTTTCAGTTGAAGTCTAGATGCCATGGCACCTTTCTTCTCGTTGATTTCATACGAAACCTTCTAACCAACCCTACACCCCTATGGCTTTTCCTCTTAACTCTAAACCCTGTAATCCCACACCTTCCTTACCCTACAGCCCTTGGCTTAATGAAGCCAGTGAGCCTCTAAGCCCAACCCTAAATCCTAAAACCTACCATGCTGTAACTCCTGAAGATTCCCGAAAGCCTAAACAAGTCCTAACGTCCTAAACCCTAAAACCTAAGCCTAATGCCCTAAACCCTGAACATAAAGTCCTAAACCCCAAACCTAAAATCCTACACCCTAAACCTAAAGTCCTAAACCCCAAACCCTAAACTTAACGTCCTAAAACATGTTCACACCCAAAACCCTAAACCCTAAGACCTAAACACTGAACCTAAAGTCCTAAGCCCTAAACACTAAACCTAACGTCCTAAACCCTAAACCCTAAACCCAAAGTTCTAAACACTAAACCTAAAGTCTAGACCTAACTTCCTAAAACATGTTCACACCCAAAACCCTAAACCCTAAGACCTACCTATAGTCTCCATTGTAGTTCCTGTTTTTGGTTTAACCAAATATATATTAAGGACTTTATAAGGTATCCCCAAACAGGAACTACAATGGAGACTACAGGTATAGGGTTTTGGGGTGATGGTGTACTGTAGTTATGAACTCTAAAGACTACGACGGGCATTTATCCAGCTTCAGGCTCTTATAGTAAACCCAGGCCCTGGACCCTAGACCTTAAGCCTAGATTCTAGATGGGCTTCGTACTAGGGTTCGTTGTCTGATATGCTAAGGGACACCGCCTTCCAGTGGTACGGTTTCGGGTTCTGGGCTTTACGCTGTGGGCTCGAAACAATAATAGCATGGAGACAGGGTGTGACGACCTCGCAAGAACGCTGCAAATGCAATCAGAATCCGGAAGGTTTAGAAGCCTTTCTAAACGCTGTCTTGAACAAAGTCCTATTAATTTATAACACACCCTGAAACCCTTGTCAAACGCCAGCGATGCACCTGCAAGTGTGGAGAGTCTTCCTCAGGCAACTCCTCTGGAATCTCCTGCGCACAACAGAATGAGTTTTTCCCGACTGCACACAGCCAAAAGTAGGCGTGTCTGAGACCATCGAGTCTAGAATTTAGGGTTTCGGGTATAGTTGGGGGCATGGGGCATAGGGGATCAAGTCTAGCAAAGGGGGGCAGCGTCTCCGTTTTGGGTGCCGGGTTGCAGGTTCAGGGCGGAGAGATTTGAAACGGTTTGCTCTAGGCCTAGAACTACTCAGAGATGCATGCTGAATGAAGCCCATCAACCCATCGATCCTGCTAAAGTTGCTGCCTTTATAGGTCCCTGATAAGGGATTGGGGATTGAGGGTTTCCGCACCCAGATAGAAGACCTGGAAAGGTAGAGTGCCAGTATTAGCAAGGCACTCTCTGCAGTTAAAATATCATCAATGGCACGGCATTGATTACTTTACGTAAGGTACACTCGACCGATCTGCTTAAAGCAGATCGGAACCCCCTTTCAGGTCTCTGTTCTAGTTAGTCATAGGCCGCAAACACTGAACCCTAAACCCAGCCCCAAACATCTCCAAAAACTCTGAAGCACAAAACTCTACACGAAGTCGGAACTGGGTCCTCCGTCTCCTCCTCAGCAGCATCCTCCTCAGTCCCAGTGGGCACCTCACCGCTGCTGAGGGCTGTTGTGGATCCCGCTGGCTCTTCACATGCCGCTATCGACCCCGCAGACGAAGTCAGTACCGTTGATTCGGGGTCTCCATACAATCCATGACTTTGTAGCGGAGGATCCTGCTTCAATTCATTGTAAAAATGCAACGCGTATGAATAAACATGCATATATATATATATATATAGCGCATATATGCATATATGCATGTATGCATATGTTTTCAATATATACACATATATATATATATATATATAGATGTATGTATATGTATGTATACAGGTGATGCAGTGATGCATGTACATGCATATGCATATGCATATACATTCACGAACACCTTGGGTGCACATGAAATGTATACGCGACTTGTACTTTACTCTATTACGCAATTTCTTGGTGCTTAACAAGTAGGTCTAAGTAGGTGTGAACAGGAATTTCGGAGCCATCAGAACTACCATTCATGTCGCTCTGTTTGATGCGACGATCATCACCTGGACGCATGGCACTAGTGCGGCTTCGCATGATGAGTTGCTCAGTTGCTCTGGTGGCAGGGGATATAGGGACATGGTAGGAATTGTCGGGTTGCAGTTCACTTCCCGAAAAGCGCAACATATCTGCCGCCTCATGCAAGCTGTATCATGCAGATTATTGGGAGTTGGGAATAGCGGGGACCCTTGGGGATATAGACCCTCTCAATACGGTCCCTTTTAAGAAAGCTGGAAGTAGGGTTCAGAAAGGTCCCATTTAAGGGGTCTCCCGCTGACTAGCTAGGAATCATGACTCATGACACACCCTGAAGTCCTGCAGCACAGCAAATAGTAAACTTAGTAAACCCGCAAATACCTCCACCTCGAACGCGTCCAGGAACCCAAGCCTCAAGAACAAGCCCCATCAGTCCTACAAACAGCTAAGACCTAAGTCGTGAAACCCGTAAACCCCAAGAAACCGCATCCTGCAGGGCCGTAATAGATAGAATAGGGCCTTGAAGTTATGTTGTTGCTTATAATATAAGGAGCCATGAAGACTAGCATTGGCATTTGTCAAAGACTAGTATTGGTACTAATTCAGGCTTCTACATTCGCTGCATCCGAAGGTGCAAGATCGCCAAGACGCTCTTAGATACGCTCTGGGAGCCGCCCCTGAAACTTAAGACTGTTCAGGGCTTAGTTAAAGTTTAGGGGTTGAGGGCTTAGGGTTCAGGGGTTTGGGGTTTAGGGCTTGGATACTAACTTAAACTAGCCATGTACAGTGGGAACGTACAAGAATCAGGAGTAATTGGAGTGTGGTAGTTTACGGTGAATAGGGTGTGCGTATTCTTGCAACATATAATGGGCGTGAGGATTCTTACAACATGCGTAGTATTGGAGACTAATTAACGTTAATAGGGTTTGAATATGTCAGAATTGCGGCGATGGACCCTTAAGAAATACTGCTACCGCTGTTGCGAGAAAAAATATATATCTATATATTCAGGAATCACCCTCAGTTAGCCCGGGGCCCAGACTTTCTGGGTCTCGGCCCAGGACGGTAAAGACTCGCCGCCAAGGAAGTCGATCTGGGAGCTGCTAGTGTGCCGTTGCAAATATGAAGTGCCTAAATCCGATTAGAATGGGGTTTTGCATCTCGGGCTTCGTGGAAAAAGGGGATAAGGGCTGCTATAAGAATTACTCTAAGGTTGGGGCCTACATGGTTAATTCGAATGTATGTTATGCTTTAGCTGTAGGACGGCCATGGGCATTACTACTACTTATTCATGCCCGTGTAGTACGGTACGTGGCTTGATTCTGACAGCTTCTCGCCTCCAAGCCTATAACTTTCGTACAGCCCCTTGGGCCCGAAATCCTAAAGTGCCCCCCAAGCCTCTCACACGCAGAAGAACACCCTCGGAAGTGAGCCGAGTCTGAAGCCTTGCTGAAGACGAAGACACACAAACAAATCCAAGCGGGAACCCGAACCCCCAAACACCGAAACATACCGAAATCCAAAACCGTCAAACACAAGTAACACAGCCCAAAAAGCCCAAATCCAAGACCGTCAAACACAAGTAACACAGCCCAAAAAGCCCAAATCCAAGACCCTCAAACACAAGTAACACAGGCCCAAAAAGCCCAAATCCAAGACCGTCAAACACAAAAAGCCCAGGCCCAAAAAGCCCAGGCCCAAATCCTCAAACCCCAAAACAGCAGACCTTGGAGGGGACCCGCTCCCCTGTTGGGCGGATGGCGTAGACCTGCTGGACTCAGAATATGAATAGTTGTCAAAATTATGGTCCCTTTGGGGGTACCCTAAATAATAGGTGCCGTATTATAATCAGGACCCAAAANNATAATTTTGACAGCCACCCATATGAATAGGTGTTGTGGCTTAATGGGCTTAGAGCATAGTTTGGGACTGAGGTTTCAGGGTTCATGCCTCGCAGAACTTTCAGTCTTTTAGGTCGGTGTGTGTTTTGGACTCCTACATCCCCCAAGCGCAGAAATAAAACACCCACGAAACGCGAGCCTCGCCCCCGATGCCCTTGATCTCCACGGTGGCCTCTTCCCACTGCCTCCTGAGAGCTTCAAGGAGTCAGGGGGATGCTACAGGGGGTTGTGGCGTGGTGGGTTTCTGTCGTAAGCGTGCCTCACTGTTCTGTCTTTGTCCCTGAGCCGCACAAGCCCTGTGAAGGTTTGGATGCACTGCACAGTCTCCAGAATGACAGCAACTGCAGTGCTAGCACGTTCTGCATCTCATCCAGCACATCAATGCTGTCTCCCCAAGCTAGCCTTTCGATTTCCAAGAATGGCGGCAAAAGCACGTTCGGAGACTCGGATCTGTTGCGCATTCCTCGGCTGATGCTGCATAGCATTGCAGTCACCACCATCTTCAGCATAATCATTGGATCCACCGCACGTTCTTCAGCTGCTCCACAGTACTGCTGTCGCCATCAGTGAAGCCTTGGCAGGCTGAAGCTGGAAAGATCAAGATGACAAAGTCAACGTCTCGGCGCATTCCTCATGCGACTCCGGCGTGTGCGCGAAAGTGATCCAGACATCGGGGGGGGGGGGGGGGGGGCNNATGGATCGCCCGAAAGGAAAAGCACCCGACAGTTGCGTCAACGAGCAATTCAAGCCCGATCCATTGCGCTTCTGCTTGGGCAGCAGTTCAACAGGGTTAGAACGGCACCCGGAAAACAAGCGCATGCAAAGGTGGCTGGACCAAGTTGACGTACAAGAAGCTGAATGCACCCTAAACCCTAAACCCTAAACCCTAAACCCTATAAACCCTAAAACCCTAAACCCTAAACCCGAAATGCACTGCGACCCAGGTTTGAAGCTAGCCAGAGAGGGGGACCGCCATGCTTAACG